AGTCCCTTATCAGTACATTTCTGGAAAAATAATGATACTTGTGTGTGTACAGTGTACAGGTACATGTATTTTCTGCAGTACAGAATGGTTTTCATTCGCAGCTGGGACTGTTCAATAAGCCGGGGATCAGTGTGCTTTTTTTAAAAGCAAACCTGTGGTAGAATTTAATGCGCTATGATCAAAGATAGCTGTTCAGTGCAGGCAAATGAATTGCAGATTGTTTCATTTGGATATTAAATTATTTTATACCCTGCTTTATAAACAAAAGCCAGATGCATTTGATATGACTAACTGTCCAAAATTGCATTATTTATAATGTCCATGGATGAGGAGGCTGGTATTGCAGACTTTTGTACTCCCATGACAGAGTAATGAGTTTATCATCCAGACTGTGAAAACCAGCCTAATCGTGTTATCGTCAGGTCATTATATGGGGATGTTAATTACAGATAAAAGCCATGCAGAGTGGTACTGTACATGTACCTGTATATGCACTGTATCACTGGTACTGTGGTAGTCTTGCACCTAGTGTAGGGTGGTTGCAAATGCAATTCATGTACATGTTGGAGCATTTGAATTAGCTGTCCATTTAATGTTTAGCACAATTGAGGGAGCTGTGAAAAGCAGCCAGGTGGTAAATGTGAACATTTTAATTTGCATTTATCTACTCTACATGTACATATATATTGCTAGCCATGTACCGGTACTTTGAATACTGGTACCTGTTTATCCACTGCAGTCATACATGTACATGTACCGGCCCATAATCAAGCGTGTCGGCGCACCCCGTAGAATGTGTTAGTATGAGGATTTTGCACCAATACTTACACCCAAAAACTGAAATTGAAACTACCAGAATAAAACACTGAAATTCCTGTAGGTTTTTTTTTATATTCATCCCCTCTCATGTTTCACCCTTTGGGTAGTCCTCTTTGGAAAAAGAATCCTGAAATGAAATCAGGTTTTTCTTCAAGTTGTTCATTAAAAATCACATGCAACATAACAATGCGGTTACACTGGTTCCTGTTGGTAAAATGGCACTATCAATGGGCTGCACCAGGAACCATTCTAATACAGTTGCAGTTTGAGGTGCACAGAAATGTCATGTCCGAAGTGGGCAATGAAATGTCAGGCAAGCATTTTTGAAACTGATCGAGGCTACTTTTACTTGTATCTGGAGTACATGTAGCATGCTAGGGTCTACATGTATTGTATCTGTGTTTTTATTTTCTGCTTTGCTGATTTTTTGTAATGTCAAATCTCCTGGTTTTGTAGTGTTTACAATACCGTATTATGCAAAGTTTGCTGCTTCAGAGTCACCACTGTTGAATGTACGTACATGTACATATACCGAAGTTGTACCCTACAGCTACAATTTGGGAGCCAAGGGGGTGGTCAGTATTCACAGATGTTCCGTATATTGGTGTTTAGCATTTCCTTTGAAAAATAATTCATTTGGGATGGCTAGGCATATTTCAGATTAAACAAAAACTAATTTCAAATTGTTAAAGATTGCTTGCAAAGACAATCTTGTCATTATTTTCATATTATTTTCATATTGTCTCTATTTTTATATTAAATAACGCATAATTTTCAGCTTCAACAACAGTGTAATAGTACACTGTACATGTACTTTGATTTATACTTTTACTCATATTCGGCACAAGTACTCAGACTCATGGAATCACATGTACATGCACAAGTACATGTACTCGTACTCAAAAATATACATGTAAGTACTTGCATTCGGAAGCCTGTTCTCAGTTGGCCAAGTACTCAGACTTGAACTGTACTGGGCAATCTAAGTTCTCGACACTCTGAAAAAAAGTACTCAACTACAACACTGTAAAATATTCTTCCTGTACTTTACGCAATAGGCATCCTTCCTTTGCAGGGGGGAGGCATCCTTCCTTTGCAGGGGGGAGGCATCCTTCCTTTGCAGGGGGAGGCATCCTTCCTTTGCAGGGGAGGCATCCTTCCTTTGCAGGGGGGAGGCATCCTTCCTTTGCAGGGGGGAGGCATCCTTCCTTTGCAGGGGGGAGGCATCCTTCCTTTGCAGGGGGGAGGCATCCTTTGCAGGGGGGAGGCATCCTTCCTTTGCAGGGGGGAGGCATCCTTCCTTTGCAGGGGGGAGGCATCCTTCCTTTGCAGGGGGGAGGCATCCTTCCTTTGCAGGGGGGAGGCATCCTTCCTTTGCAGGGGGGAGGCGTAACCTTGATTAGAACTGCATGTAATACAAGTCCAAACCCCTAACAGTGTGGGTTTGGGGTCCTGGGCCCACTTAAGGGCCCCAGGAAATGTGGGATTCGAAATGTTTTGTGATGTGGTCTAGGGCCATTTCTGGCTACTTTTACCAATTTTTAGTGAATGCTTTTGCAAACATTATGTATTTTTAAAAAAGTGTTTTTACCTGAAATATCTATCAAATGCAGGCCAACCCCCCTTCAATTTTTTCTATTTATGGTCTGGAAAAACTAGAGAGGACCAATTCCTCATATCTCCCCACTTTCAAAAGTGGGGAAGACATCCCCTCCCCCGTCCCCTACAGCCGATAATTGACACCAATGTGCAATACATGCACATGTACATGTACAGGACATGTTCATGTACTTTGAAGGACTTGACATCTACTGTAAGTTCATTTAAGGCACATGTACTGTATGTACATGTATGTAGGTTGTGCATGTGGTACATGTATGCATGCACACTGCATTACCACACCTGCTGTACAAACTCATACAATACACGTACCTGTGTGCGCTTATACATGTACATGGGGCCTTGTGGGGTACCGGAACAATGGGAAGTACCCCGCAAGGCCAGTTTTTACCTTGTGGGGTACCAAAATTGTTACCCCACAAGAATTTCATGAAACTGATAATTGGAAATAACTCAAAAAGGGGAAATTTTTGATGGGTAAAAATCTGTTGCAAATTGAAGTGTTTATATAAGGGACGTATGGTTGAAATTTCCACCCAGGAAAGTGAATTTGGTTTAAATTGGAGTGATTTGAGCTTTTTTGCGTGTTATGTGGGAGTTTTGTACACGAGAACAAAGGAAATACCCCACAAGTGTGGCTGTGCAAGGATGTGTGTATACCTGTTCTGGTACAAGTATGCTCATCTGGCAGTCTACATGTACCTGCATTTAATATTGAGTTGTAGTGTGTGGGTTCATGTGTTACACCATACATAGTACGAGTATACATTTGTAGTTGCACTGCTTTTTGTAGAAGATGCATCATTCTGACAGCTGGATCTTGATGTGATGCACTGCTAAATGCCAAAGAACTGCTTGGATAAACAAACTGGAATTCCTGTGTGGCTTTGCACAGCTGCTGTGTTTTGTTTTAGCCAAAATGGCCCCAAGGCATGTAAAAAAACAGTATTAACCCTAACCCCCTAGGGTGTATGTAAAAATCATATTGAAATTGGAGGATTTGGTACTGTTAGGGTTAATTAGCAACAAACAAAAATTCATTTTCATTGTAGGAGGAAAGAAACTTACTAAGGGCTGAATCACTTTACAATTCCTCCCCAGAATACCTATACAGATTTTTCTCTTTATTTTGGATTGAGTGGTTTTGAAAATAAATGCACTCAAAAATGAAAAATATAAGCAAACATTCATAAGATCGTCAGTGGCATCTTAAAAGGATTGAAATGGTTTGAAGAATAAGAAGAGATGAAAAGGTGTTCTGCTGTATGGCAGAGGTACTTTGCACACACAGCATGCCAAAGCATGAATATTCAGGATATTTCATCCAGTTTGACCCACATTTGGATGAGAGGCAATGATGCTCCATACTGTAGCATTCAATCTCATTGCCAACACTTAAATTACTGCTTGTCACTTTCAATTAACTTATAAATTCTGTTCCAGACAATTACAATAAAATCAGGGGAAATTCATTCTTGGCCTATGAGGGCGGTTTGTCAGCAGCATTGCTCTATGGGGCTTTAAATCTAATTAAAACTGTCATGACTTGTTTCAATGCTATGAGGTGTTGGTTGGCAGAGTTTGATGGGGTTTCGTTCATCAGCTGAGTCACACATGTAGCTCAGATTGGTTTTTATCATTAATTACATATACAGTCCAACACGGGTAAGAAGAGCTCTGTTATACAAGGTCATATTTACAAGGACAATTTTAGGTCTCAATTCTTTGATTTTCTTTGTTTTCCATTACTGGTAATACAAGGTAACTATTATAACAAGGTACGTGTAGATGTACTTGTAATATGTGAAGTCCCAGAGACCATGTCTAACAGTGTTACCGGTATGATTTCCTTTTTAATGTCTTTAGTGTACTGAGGAACTATAGGTATAATGTACATGTACATGTTGTCACAATATAGCAGCATACATGCACATGTACTGTACATGTACATGTTGTCACAATATAGCAGCATACATGCACATGTACTGTACATGTACATGTTTTCACAATATACATGTAGCAGCACACCTGTACACTGTACATGTAGGAGAAGGTTCAGCAACTGGATACTTCACTGCTCATGGATTCTGCAGTGTTAAGCAGGCTTCATACTTTCAGTCATTGGATTTTGTTGAGGTCCACATTACCCGGTCGACACTTTAGCAGACCTCACACTTTTCAGTCATTGGGTGTAGTTAAGTTCTGCAACCATACACTCCACCGTCAATGAATTCTGTAACATTCTGCAACCTGGCACATTACGTACGTACATGTACTCTCAACTGATTCTGGAAGGTTCAGCACACTGTACTAGTAGACATTTGACCTAGGTTCTGTTCCATGCATATGTACATTTGTACATGTATAACTGTGTGAAGTACACGCACATGTATGGACATTCACAGGAATGTGTGTACATGTACATGTATGCAAGCTGTACTTACCTGTCATTGGGTTTTGTTGGGTTCTGCAACCCTACACTTTACTATCCATGTATTCTGCACATTTTGCCATTGGATTCTGGTTGATTAATAATTTTTTTGTCGTGTTTTCCATTCAAGATCATTGACAGACCCCAGATCACCCACCCATGGTAGGACACAGTTATTATCAAGTGCAATAGCCATCACAGACAGCACATCAAGATGGTAAGTGTTTAAACATGTGCATGCTGTCTTGTGTTCCACTGTCTTAACCCTAACCCCCTAGAGTGTATGTAAAATCGTACTGAACTTGGAGGATTTGGGAGTGTTAGGGTTAATACAGCAAGGTTCTTGCCACATGTATTTGATCTGAATCCATGCATCCATAAGGTTCATTGTAATGGTTATGTATGTCAAGACTAATTCACTGCCCCAGTTTGACTATATACAGCCACTTTTAATATTTATTTCAACAAAATGTCCTCCAAATGTGCAAATATCAATTGAAAGGGGTTTTGAGAAGATTCATAAGAACCTTCCTAGATCGTCACAGGAATATTAACATGTAGCAGTTGAGTTGTTAGTTTTACCAACTACATGTATTTGCTCATTTTGTCAACAGTCTAAAAAAGCAGAGTCGGTCAAAGTGGTGGTGCGGTGTCGGCCGATGAACTCCAAGGAAACCAAGGAGGGTTTTGAGCGAGTGGTAGATATGGATGTCCCTAGAGGAGTAGTCTCAATACGTAACCCCAAGTCATCCTTGGAACCACCCAAGCAGTTCACATTTGATTCGGTCTATGACTGGAAGTAAGATCATAAGTTGTGTCATTTCAAAATTATTGCCTCATTCCTTGCCTACATGTACATACTGAACCACATGCTGGAAATAAACTGAACCTACTTTGTATTCCATCCCAACATATTTTCCACTAAACTACAGTGAACCCACATTAACATCCTAAACTATGCCCCATACTTGGTGGGAACCCAACCAATTCTGTTATGTTTCCAAACAAACCAAAGTGATCTTACATCAACTCTACTGTGGTAACTGGCCCCACCCACATATGGTACATCCCAACCAACTTGGAAACATGTATTCCAACCCAAATGCTACCTACATGTAGCAAGCCATGAGTGACCCATCATGACAAACCCCCTAGTGATCTAATTAAAGAGGTACGGAAAAGAAAACCTTCTTTCTCCAATTATAACCTTTAAATAAAAGGTGACTAGATTGTCTTCCAAAATTAACATGAAAAATGGAACAGTTTCCCATTTATGATCGAAACATGTCCCCAAAATGGGCTTCCTTGAGTCCCCTTTTCGCCAATTTCAGAAATGCTCTTGTATTAATGCCAAAGCGGTGGCCCCAAAACATCACAGGGAGATACGGTTGTAACCACAATGCATTTCCACACAAGTTTCGTAGTAGAGGCGTGTTCAAAATGCAATGATCTTGCGCGGTTCCTGTCCACTACGTTGATTGTTCCATCCATCTACGGTGTACATGTTGTTTAGTGCATGATTTGTTGTGTTTTGTCCTAAAATAAAGCATACCCTAGTCTAGTGCAGTTCGGACAGGAGTCTGGTACACTGAGACTTGGTCTCAAGGTTTCCATGCAATAACGCATGGAGTTGATCATTCCCAGACAATGCATTAAGGGTAGATTTTAAACCTTCCCGGTAGTCGCAGATAAGTAATATGCCAAGTATTTGTGGCGGAAAAATATCCAGTCTCTGCAAAAGCACTTGGAATTTAGAAAAGTGATGCATAAACCTTGCCGACTGCTTGTGTTGTGCTGCAGCTGCCGGTGTACGGTGCTGTGCTGCTGGATCAAGGCCAGGTTTGTGACTGCCACAGCAGCCCTGCAACACTGACAGGTTCTGTGCCGTCGGCCTCATTCATCGACAAGTAAATTCAAGTTACTTTCATAGGAATTGAATCCACTCATTTTCATGAGAAGAATCTAATGCGTGTTTATCTTTTTTCTTTGACACATTGAAAATTGTAGACTTGGCAAACAAGTACGCACGTGGGTTGCTGTCTTTTTTCAAGACGCTTCACATGTACACCTAATACCATGAATACAGGTACAAGGTAGCCCATGATTCAGCCTGAGATTCAGGTCCGGGTACTATACTGATCATGTCACTCTCCATGGCATATGAATAGTCTGTTGCCACTGCACATGAGCACGAGTGTACTCTTACATGTATGCCACGCAAGTTACATGTACTGAACATCCCACTCCACCGTTAACATCTCATACTTCTTCATTTCGGAACAAATCTCACAATTATTTTGACCAGCTAAGAGTAAGATTCTAGGTTTATGCATCTTAGAGATTAATGTATAATATTGTGCCTTTTCTACATTTACATGTATCTTTATGCATGCTTCATGCATGACTCTTGTGCCTTTCTCCCTGTAACATCATCAACCCAACACAAACAAAATTTGACCTTGTGTGTTTTCGAAATCGGCCCAGTTGATTGTGGGCAAAAATTGCATCTTATTTCTCTCGTGTTGATTTTGGAAGATAAATTCATTGTACATGTACATGTACGTGTATGCAAGTACTGGTTTCTGGATGGCCAATCTACATGTACACTGTACCTCCAAAACCCTAGATGTCACAGTATGTGAAGCCTTTTCCCCACCATTTTAATCTCGTGGGCCCAGTGTACATGAAGCTCGTAGAAAATACTGCTTAGCACAATAGCAGTAATGCTTTAGCCAGACAGGGCTTTTTGACACCCCTTAGGCCATTTTGGGCCCCTTATGTTGCTGAACAAATGAAGATATGTGTAAAAAAGCATTTAACCTTAGCAACTTGGAGGCACTGTTTTCACTTCAAGGCAAATACAGACCCCCTGTTTTCAAACGCTAGCTGAAACCCTGCTTAGCAAGTTCATGTGCTCTGTAAGACAACTGGCAAAGGGTTATATAAAATAAATGGTACACTCATGTACATGTGCACCATACTTTTGTAACAAGCATTTTTGTGTTTGGTAGATACTGGTACACTTAGTTAAGAGCTCTATTTGTCTATTTAGAATTGTTCCCAGTCCAGACTGCAGCTACCAGTCCATGTATATGGTGTTAAGCATTAGACATGGTAGTGTTACTGTCTGCCCTTTAGACTTTGCTTTCCAGCAATCCAATTAGTCTGGGAGTTTGCTTCACAAGCCTCCTGACATAATCAATTTTTTGATGGTACATTGGTTCCAGTGCATCTCCCACCTCTGGTAGTGATGACGATGGTTGCTGAGGTGTTGAAATTTCTGATGAATTTGGTCAGGAGTCGGTCACCCATGAAGTTGAATCAAAGGCCACTGTTCAACATGGACTCTGCCATTTCAATTTGAATTTTTGACTTGTGAGTTTTAGGCAGTGTCACCAGAGTTTCAGATTATTTCAAAAAGGTGTCCGTGGTGTTTCCCAGGAAATACTGAGTTCACATTCAGATCCCAAGTACATGTAGGTGGCCCAGTATTATGCTTATGCACATGTACATTGTACAGTACTTGTAGGGACTTAAACTGTGGTTTTTCTCACTAATTTCACAAAATTTGTGCAAATATTTAAACTGATGTTAAACACTACCTTCTGGCCACTTGCTCATATTGCATGTAACTGACCAAAAATCCCCTTTAAAACACCCCAAAAAATGAACCAAACAAAATCTGCCAGCAGTTCTTTTTCACTCCTATGTTTATGCAGTGTCAGACCATTCAAAAGAATTCAGCCCTTACATTGTACCTCCATCATGAAGACAGCAAATAAGTGTTATTTGTAATTTTGGATGTATTCAGGGCTAAAAACCTACATGTACATGTATATGTACACATACATGTACATGTACATGTGTGTACATGCGCAGTGTTATGTGATGTACAGATAGCTTATGTTACAGACAACCTTCTCCTCGGTCTCAATTCATTTATCACCAAATTTAAAACGGTGGTTAGTACCAGGAGTTAACAACTTGCTGTGAGTATCGTACATGTAGCCACCGTACATGTACATGTACCTTGTCATTGTGGCCTCTCATCAATGCTTGTCTGCTGGTCGGAATGGTCTGTACCACATGCCTTCTTGTGTAGTTGGACATGTTCTGTTCTGTGCAGTTTTGCTGTTGTAGTTGTGTCTTTGTAAATGTTATGTTTTTAATTGTTGCTTCTTCCAGTTCCCAGTTGGGCGTTTTTGCAATTGTAATTAATTGTGTTGAGCACTTTTTCTATTTTTAGTTGTTAATGTTGTCTGGAGGGGGGGACATGTCCATGTATTGCGGTAGATCAGGGGTGTTGCTTAGTGTTTTATGATGCTCTGCTATCATCGATCATCGTTCAGTCGGTGGGATGTCATTCTTTCCCTCTTCTTTTGTGCCTTATTTTGCTTGTAGGAGAATTGTGCCAGGAGAGCTTATCAATAGTTTGTAACTCCTTAATGATCCTGCGGCATGTGTGGGAGGGGGAGTGGTTTTCATCTTCTTGCCACACATGTCCACTGATCCTCATTCCCTTTTGAAAATATTTTATCTCTTTATTGTTGGATCGACTTATTCCTGGTTTGTTTGTACCGGTATGTTCTTGTTTTTTACTCCTGTGAATTAAGTGAAATGAAATGAGAGATGTACAGTACATACATGTACCCGTACATGTAAGTCACACACTGTCCATGTACATGTACATATAAATGCTTACATGTACATGAACAGTGTGCCTGAAGTACAGTTTTACATGTACACGGCGTGTTAAACAATTCCTGTTGAAGAGCCTGGATGCATTAGCACGCATCTTATTTAAAATGCATGCATTCACACTTGTAGTTTTGTTTATGCCTGTATTATAAACATGTCAGCCAATTATGAATGAAATAATCCATTTCATCTGGTGCACTCTGTCATGTCCGTTGCTTTTTAAGATCATATGAGTCAATTTGATTCATGGCCTGACATTAAAAGAACATGAACTTGATAAACATGACATCAGGTATTTACCGATGTGTTCTACATGTACATGTGATAACAGTGTATTGCTGTACGTGTACATTGTATATCCTTACCGGTACATGTACAAAATGGTAACCCATCAGTTGATGGCACAGGTGCACATTTGATCCATTTATAGTGCAAAAGGATACTGGTTCATTTGATCTTCATTGCTTGAGTTATGATTTGTTATTACAAACAGTACTCCCAGTCCTTTCTGTTTTCAGACACTCTAGGGGAAATGGATGTGCTTGTTAGGGCAGCAGTCTCTAGCTAACACAGACATGTTTATTTACACAGATAGCAATAGTTTGCATTCAAAGCAAGTCTGGCATTTTTCTAGTTGACTCCTACTATGATGTGCATGTACTTGTGTTGACTACATGTACATGTACATGTATATTGATTGTAGGCTCGTACATGTACATGTACGTGTTCATTTACATCTTATGAAGACAAGATTAACCCTAACCCCCCAAGAGTGTGTGGTGGGGAAGCCCAGACTGATACTGTTAGAAATGGAAACCAGTGAGGATAAGGTTTGTAAGAAATGAATTAAAACTTGTGCTCTTGTTGTTACTGTTGTTTTAGCTGCCTGCCCCTGCATGTACATTTTGTCCATGAAATGATTGATTATGCACAAATTAATAGCCTCACACATTCAAAGTAGTATGCAGGATGGCATGGCATATATTCCTGTCCATATATCATGGCACTTGACAGATAGCTAATGCAGGGTTCCTGCATGTTATGAATTCAGTACACAGTCATCCCCTCACCTGATGCACCTGATCAGAATACAGGTACATG